AAAATCGACTGAAGAAGTGTACCTTGATATGGTGAAGTCTCCAGCTTTGCTTATCCAGTAATGCACGGTTGGAACACTGGAGATCACGGAAACCCATACCACCTAATTTCTTAGGCTTGCATAAGTCCTCCCATTTTTGCCAATGTAGCTTCCTAGCTGTACCAGTAGAGCCCCACCAAAATCGAGCAAACATTGAGTGGATATCATCAATGAGACCGTCCGGGATTTTAAAAATGCACATCATATAAGTCGGAATGGCTTGAGCAACCGCTTTGATAAGTACTTCCTTTCCCGGTTTTGACAATAATTTTTCTTTCCACCCTTGCAATTTCGTCCATATCCTCTCCTTCAAACAAGCGAAAATAGCCTTCTTTGATCTACCAATGATGGTTGGGAGGCCAAGGTACTTCTCATGTCGATCTACCTCTCTAACACCCAAAGTATCCACAATCTCAATCCTCCGGTGAGCAGAAACTTTCTTACTAAAAGCTACTTCTGTTTTGCTGAGATTAACTTGTTGACCCGACGCTCTCTCATATTTGCTAATAATATTAGCTATCACAGAGCATTCACGCATATTAGCTCTAGCAAAAAGAATACTGTCATCGGCAAAGAACACGTGCGATACACGGGGATCTCCATAACATATTCTAGCACCATGGATTTGCTTCTCTCTATCCGCCTTACGTAGTAACATAGAAAAAGCATCTGCGCACAACAGAAAGAGATATGGCAATATGGGATCACCCTACCTCAGGCCTCTAGTGGGAGTGACCGAACCTGAAATTTGCCCGTTAATTTTAAAAGCAAAACTCACACTCTGCAGACAACTCAAAATTCTGTCACACCAGGATTTAGAAAACCCCATTTTTCTCCATTTCCTTCAACAAAAAACTCCATTCCACCCGATCGTAAGCCTTACTCATATCCAGTTTCAATGTAATGATACCATTTTTCCCTTCTCCACCTCTTTTCATCGAATGAAAATTTTCAAAAGCCACAAGAGCATTATCTGTAATAAGTCGTTTCGGTACAAAAGCACTCTTCTGATTTTGTGAAATAACCCCCCCCCCTAAAATTCCCTTCAGTTTATTAGCCATTGTTTTCGAGATTATTTAGTATATTACATTACAACAACTAATAGGCCTGAATTCTGAAATAACAGTCGGATCCTTGCATTTTGGAATAAGCACAATACAAGTATTATTCACATCCGCTAAATCCACCTCCCCCCTCCACCATTTTTTCACAAAATCAGTAATATCAGAACTAACAATATGCCTTGAAAGAGAAGAGCATGCATACCCTTGGGCCCTGGTGCTTTATTCGGGTGCAGTTGATGTTTGGGGTAAAAATACCCTAAACACGTGGCCCAATGGCCTAGTGACACGTGGCACCCAGCCGTTGGTCAGCAGGGCTCCAATCCTCTACTGACACGTGTCCACTAAACCCTAAAAGGGGAACCATCCCTTCCCCACTATAGATAGTGGAAGGACCCTCATTAATGGGGGAGAGCTGAAACATTCATTATTCACATTGAATACTCCTCAAAAAGAAAAACACTTACCCCGAGCAATATTAATTGCAGAATTCTCCCATTACGCGAGAAGTAACTTCTACATTACGTGCATCCTACCTCCCGTATCTTTACTAACTTGATCGTCGGAGGCGGAGCTCCTACCCCCAGGAGTCTTCGTGATTTTGCAGGCACAGGCGTCGAAGGGCATTCTTGGAATTGTAACTCTCCCGCAGGACACATCAAAAAAACCCCGAAACAGTTGAAATAAAGCATTTTTACTTTCCTCCTCCGTCGGCTCACGATCAAGAATGACATTCATATCTTCCGACACAACATTATCAATAAAGCATCCTGGAAACCGGTTGGAGAGCTTGTGGCAAAGATATTTGAGAAATATGCCGAAATTAATCTATCGAGATCAACCCGCTGCTTTAACCAAACACCATTATCATCAAATAACCCCTCAATTCTGTTTTGTGCTTTTCTCTGATATGCCTATTTTATATAGTAATTTAGCCCCGTCCCTTGGTCATATTTTGGAATATTTTTTGCTCTATGGAGCTACTTTTATTACTAATATGCGTTTTCTAGTGTTTTCGTAGCCTTGGTATTATTTTATAGGAAATTGCAGATTTGGAGCATTTTCCCAGACTTATTTGAGCCACTACGAGCATTGGATTAGGATCGCATTCATATGAGCATATTTCGAAGCCCAAGACCGCGTTGAAGCAATCAAACCGGTGATTAAGGACTCGGTGAAGAAAAAGAGACCGAGGCACTGTATCGAGTTATAAGGACCCAAAGAGGAAATCCGGATTGGGCCAAGAAATTAGCCCAATCGAAGATTCCATTGATGCCCGGATGCTCGCCCGACTGAGGGTACCCTCGTCTTGAGGTGCGCACGGCCGGGCAAGGCAGATAGAGAAGAAGCACTCCTCGCCCTAAAGAGCCCGACTGGGCGCGCGAGAGAGAGTCCACCAGCCGAAGGCAGGCCCAGTCGGGCGAGATGGCGCCCAACCGGGCGCGTGTTTCTGAGGATCTTTTAGCAATTTTTAATCTTTGTTTTAGCTTAGGATTTTTAGCTTTAGTATAAATACGCTTTGTTAAGCGAGATTTGCAACGTCTTTCATTAGTAAATTCCAGATTTTTAGTTTTAAACTTTAGATTATTACTCTTGTTCTCTCAACTCTTTTTGATTTATGCAATTCATTATTTCCGTTTAGTTTGGTAACGATTTATTTCCCTTTTATTTTCAGTAATTTAATTGCTTTGATTAATCATGTCTTGTTTTATTGCTTTGTTTGGTTGAGATTTTAATATGTGTGAGTCATTTTATTTCTAGGGTTTGTGGGGATCCATAAATAATATAAAGGGTAATTTATTATTGTTAATTGTTAATGCTTGATTGATTTCCTATTGATTGATTTAATGCTATGCAATTAGATTTGGCCAGGTTTAATTGTATGAGTTATGCAATATTGATTCGAGATTCGAGAGATGAGAATTGATGTTTAGGCTTAGTTTCAATAGGTAGGTTAATTTATAAATGGTTAAGTCAAGATTCGAGAGATGCGATTTAATGCCGGTAGATTAATTCTTTGATTGTAATACGTAGCAAAAGCCCTTTATGATCTGATTAATTGATGCATTGATGATTGATTATTGTGTTTTACCCTAGAATATTATTTATTGGTGAACCTATACCCTAGGCTTTGATTATTGATTTCTCCTTAGTTTAAATTGCTTTAATTTATTTATTCTCCTTAGATTAATTCTCACAAAACAATTTGGTTACTTGCTTATTTAGATTATATTTAATTATTTAGGAATAGAAAGACTTTGTTTTCCTGTGGATTCGACCCTACTTCCCTATCTGCTTTAGTTAAAGGACTTAGGTAATTCTTTTGATTAGGTGATACGACTTTATCCTATCAGCCTTGTGATGGAAGTACTTGGTATTCTTGTCACCATCCCGGAGTTCATTAACCCGTGCTCTAGCAAACCAATAAGTTTCTTCAAGCATTTTCAAAGAGTCGAGCTCCGAAATAATAGTATTGCATTGCTCCAATTTAAGACCGTCCATCACCCCCCCTTCTTTTAACTCCTTAAGTAGTTTCTCCTTATCTTTAATATTCTTCCTTACTGACCCAAAAGAGAGCGCTGCCCAAGATCCCAACTTTTCACCACATAAAGCAATTTTTTGAGTAATTCCCAAGTCAACCCCCTCTGCCCATCCCTTAGACACCACCCCACTACACTCATTATTTGACAACCATAAAGGCTTAAATTTAAACGCATTACCACCCCACATATTATTTCTTCTTTCTATTGTAGAAGCTATTATTGGAGCATGGTCAGAGTTTAATATGGGTAAATTCCTCACCTCAGTTTCGGGAAACATAGAGCACCACCCCACATCAGCTAAAAATTGGTCAAGTCGTTCTCTAACATAAGTTTGCCTCGTCCTCCCTCTCTCCCAAGTGAAAATACTACCTTTGAAACCGAGATCTCGAAGAGAGCACATATTAACGACATCTCTAAATGCATCAATGAGTCTATCACATCTTGGAACCCCACCTTCTTTCTCCGTCTCACTCATAATCTCATTGAAATCACCAAAGAAAATACAAGGTATGTGTAATACCCCGTATTTTTGAAATGTATTTTCTAATTAATTAATTAATATTTTCAAAAAAGGGTATCTTAGTAATTTATTTTACTATTTGAGCTTTGGAGCCAAAATGATATTTGAATTTTGGCGCCAAATAAATTTTAAAACTCAATAATTATTTTGGATTTTGGATACGATTTATTATCCATTTATTTTATTTTAAAAAACCGGATTATTTATATATTTTGGATATTTTAATTAAAGCAAAAACTATATTTTATTATTTAATTAATAAGGACCGAAATTCCTAATTATTTACTAAGATTTTCTTATTTTCCTAGTGTGGAAAATCTAATTTTCTAGGTTAATTTATCTAGTGAATAATTGGTATTTTTTTAATTAATTATTTTATACAAGAAATATTATTTACACAATTATTTTTAATTCCTTAAATCTAGCAAAATAACTCCCTAAAATATACTAATAGGATCCGAAAATTTGAGCTATGGAAGCTCAATATTTTCGGCCCTCATGGTCAAATTTTGGGTGATTTATTTTGGAAAATTGTATTTTTAATTACCTCCTTAAAATATCTTATTTTCTTTAATTTTATTTCTCCATCTCCTAAATATTTGATCATCTTATTTTCCTACCTTATATCTTCCTTGATTATTCCCCAAGTAATCTCTTTGCCATACAGTGCCGGGGCTAAAATCGCAAATTATTTATGGGGCCCTGTTCAACTTTTTAAAATGGGGCCTTCTACTCGATAAATTTAATACCCAATTTTTATTTGATAAAAAAATTCGTTACATCAGAAAATTCGTCAAAATTAAATTAAAATCCTAGAAATCACTTAAAAAGAGTAGCTCATTTTGCATGTTTTGTAGCAAAATCATCGATGACATTCTCTATATCGACTTCATCTAAAAGATCAGATTCAATTGCCATCAAAGCGAGTCCATTTAATCTTTCTTGTGACATGGTCGTCCTTAAGTACGATTTTAGCAACTTTAACTTTGAAAAACTCCGTTCTGCAGAAGCAACAGTTACAGGAATTGTTAATAATATCCTATATGCAATTGTTGCATTTGGGAAGCAAGTATATCGTTTTAAAAAATTTAATAAATCAATTGCTTCCATTTTCTCCTTGGGTAAAAACTCTCTAAGCCATGTTAACTCAACAAATAAATCCTGTCCATCAACATCAGAAACCTCACCTTTCTTAAGAGCATTTTCAAAATTAAAACAATAAGATAAAAGTTTCTCATCATCCATCGAATGCAATTTATCAGAATTGAACAAAAAGCCAAAGATATTCTCATACGATTCATATTGTTCAAACCTTATTTCCAATGATGCAATAGTTTGATCCACAATGTATATAAAATATTGGATTCTAAAAGATTCCTCAGGAGATAATAGTGTTTCATTACCATCTATTTCATCAAATTGTCTTTTTCTACGTATTATACGTCTTTGAGGAAATATAGGATCAATTCCAATTTCAATAGCTATTTTTTTTGCAATATCCATGGCCTTTGAAAAACCATTCTCTCTACATTTTTTAAAAAAGGAAATCAGTCCTGTAATCTCACTAATGGCAATATCAATCAACATATCCTGGGATTGTAATTGTTTACTAACAAAGTTTACAACACATAAAATTTCATACCAAATGATTGTAGCAAGCAAAAATTCAAAACTACCAAGCTCATTGTTTGCTAAAGATCTAGCTTCACTTTGAAGTTTATGGTCATTGTCAGCATCAGCTACTTCAAGTATCTCAGTTATTTGAAATCTAATTGCTTTGATACTTTTAACACGACTTTCCCATCGAGTGGCAGATAATGAATTAAGAGTTAAACCTTTAACATTTTCTTTTAAAATATGCCATCTCTTGGTAGAACTAACAAATATAGTATAAATGCGTTGGACTATTCCAAAGAATTCCCTTGCTTTAGGTGAAGCATTTGCAATGTCACACAAAACTAAATTAAGACTATGACAACCACATGGAGAATAAAAAGCTCTAGAATTCAAATCCAATAGTCTCTTGGGAGATGAAAAATCGGGAGATTAACAACGGTTTAATAATTAATTTCATCTTCAAATTGAAGATTCAACCGTTGAAATTATGAACTAATATGGGGAAAAATAATTTTGGGAGATGAAAAACTTTGAAAATTAATTGAATAATTGAAGAAAATGAAGATAATGTTAGAAAGTAAATAAGAAAATATAGAGTTTAGAAGATATAGAGTTTTTTTTGGAATTAGAATAGTAGATTGAATAATTGTATCATGTAGGTCTCGAGCCCAAGACTTTGTATACACAATGCAATTGCTCTAACCACTACACCAACTGCAATTTCATGATATTATACAAAACTTAATGACATATATCTAGATTTTGGGGCCCCTCAAATTTGGGGGCCCTATTCCGTTGACCACCTTGCGCTGGCCCAGAACCGCCCCTGTTGCCATATTATTTTTCACGGCAACACACTTTCCTTAATTCTATTATTCTTTATCACCTTAATATCAAAACTTTCCATATTTCTTTCATTCTCTTCTCCAAGTAATTCCTTAATTTTTTTTTTTTACCATAATTCTTCCTACATTCTCCTACCATAATTCTTGCATGAGCTAGCCTATAAATACCCCCTCATACCTCTCATATTCTTCACACCAAAAACTCAATTCTCTTCTTCTCTCTTACTCTTCTTTTCCCTCAATCTTTTCTTACTTTTCTTCTCCTCTTTTCTAAAAGAAAATCAACCCGTATATTTTTGGAGCCAATTTTCGGGCACTGTTGGTAAGTTTTGGGGTTTTTCTATTTCACGGAAAATTGTTCCTCTCAAAAACTCCTTGAGGTTAGGCTCAAGAATCACCCAATTCAGAGTTATATCAAATTAAGGAGTTATGATCTCTACAAGTTCTGCCTATTCTTTCCAACGCAAATTCAATTCTCTTTAATCCTATTCCTTTATTTTCTTCACGGTTAGTTTTCTAAAATATAAATATCTATTTCAAAGTTATAATTTTATATTAAAGTATTATTTTTAAAAGAGTTTATAGTCCATGCACATTAGATTTGGGTTTATGTCTAAAAATGTTGTGATAACCTTATGACCTGGTTATGTTAATTGCAAGGTGTATTCGTGATTGAACTTTGAAAGTGCGAAGTGTTGATTGATATTCGGAATCAAGGTACGTTTAGGTGGCTAGATACCTTCGAAAGTGATTGGTTTGAATAATAGCATGTTTTATATGATTTTATTTGTGATTGAATTAAATTGATTTGAATCATGATTTATGAAATAAAGTATGTTTGGAGGTATTGATTTTAATATTTGTTTTAATAAATGTATTTTTAAAGGATTGATTTTAATATCATGTTTTGAATGGTTTGAAATTATTTATTATGTTTAAAGGAATTTGGTTTTAAAAAAAAAGTATGTTGGATTGTTTTAAAGAGTTTTTTTTAAAAAGGTTTTTCAAAGGAAGAGTTATTGATTTTGAAAAGTTATTTATATGAGATTTAATTCTCAAGTATTTATTAAAAGGTTGATTTTGAAAGCACGTTGAATTAAATAAAAAGGAGTTTTGAGTTAACCTATTATAAAGGTTGATTTTATTTAATTATTTATTAAAGCTTTACAAGCATGTTATTAGTAATCCCACTATGCGGATTTGGTTGATAAGACTTTGGACTTTGTATGACCGAGTCTTTCCTCAAGAATAGACTTGCAATATAAGGAGACTAGCTTGGGAGATGTGCACACTTGGGTGAAGAATTGGTTTTAAAAAGAGGAATTGGTTTTATTGAATTGCTTATTGAAATATTGAATTATTGGAATTGGTTTTATAAATCGTTTCATCGAAATATTGAATTATTGAGAATTGGTTTTGAAACATGAGTTTTCGAATTCATTGGATTAATTATTGGAATTAGTTTTAGAAGCATGTTTGCAAATAAATTGAGTTTACATTTTCTTACACTTATTGTACTTAGCATATTTTGCTAATCCGTATTTCCTATTTGTTTTGGTTTGCCCTGTTTACCGTAATGGTAAGCAGTGTTGACTTATTTCAGGTGGAGTCAAGAATTATGCATATGGGAGTCCTAAGAATGTTCTTCACCTAGATTAGGAATGTTGGTCTTTGTTCAATTATGAGTACTTATGACTATGGTTACTATTTATATTACTATTAATAAAGAAAGTATTGAAGTTTCCGCTGCAAAGTATTGATTTTGGTTAGTAAGTTTGAGTAGTCTTGCGTAATCAAGCGGCGGTAATACGCCTAAGTCTATCTCTACGATATAATTATACGTATTATACTAGTATTTGCGTAGAGGGAGATTTGGGGGTGTTACAATATGGAGCATTCAGATTTTAGAGTGGACATAAGAGACCATGTCATATGTTTATTCGATGGTTCCGGCCATTGCATCTATATATCCCAATCGCCCTCCAAACAGACACATCGTTCTCATTCAACACATCAACTACAAAATGGTGAGACGAATAAGACACCACATTCACACTAACATCCTTCCACAAAAATCCCATCCCTCCCGATCTACCCGTACTACTAATACAGACACCATCTGCAAACCCGCATCTATTTTTTATAGTCCTCAATCTACCATCACCAATCTTCGTCTCCATGATAAAGATGATGTTTGGCCTCTCTCTCCAACAAAGATCTTGGAGAGCCTTCTTAGTCCACGGGTTGCCAATCCCGTAGACATTCCAACTCAAGATTTTCATTTCTTTTCGAGGGCTTGGCCTACACCAAGACCCTCTACTTTGTTTGCGGTTTCATAAAAGTTGCCACTTTGTGATCCCACCTTAATTTTCTTTCCTCCACCACACTCCATTTGCTCCTCCTTTTCTATGACAGAGTGTACACCTCTCTTCTTTGACATACTATCATCAACCGCTCCTTTTGACACATCCATTTCTGTCTCAGTATTTCCCCTCGTATTGTTTCGACCAACCCTCTTCCAAGACCGAGCACCACCAGCAACCTTCGAAGGCTCCTTCTCTAAGCTACCAGGTAACATCTTATCAACAACAATATCCGCCCCTCTATTAGTAACATCCGTATCGATCAGAGCCATATCAGAGTGTTGTTCCGGGTTGTTTTGAACACCAACAGCCACCAGTTTCATCCTGAACAGCCACCAGTTTGATTGAACGAGCTTTCGGGGATTGATCAGAGTCCGCAGAAGGGGACGAGAATAACAACTTTCGGGCAGCCCCAGGTGGCCCCAGACGAATGGCCTTGGGGTCATTGTAGTTGGTTCTCTGAATCCTTGCGCCATCGGACGGTTGCTCATTGGCCTGAACTTCTTTCAGTAATAGAATTTGAACCTCATTGAAGAACTGAAACAAAAAGGTTTGTCTCAATCATACGAATCGCGACATTATCATCGATCCGCCATAGATTCTTAAGTACACGCTTCATCGCTTCGAAATTAAACGGTTTCCTTGTGAGTAATTTACCCACCAAGGACAGAGCAATTCTAGGATTGGAAGCCCTCTCATCCACGTTTTCCTCAGAATTACGAAAAACAAAATTTTCTTCTTCCGTCAATTTTAAATTTTCCCATTCCTTCACCAATTGTTCATCCATCGTTGATCAATTGATTCGTTAGCATCCACAAACTACAGAAAACAGAAGTTGTGACAACATAATCAACTTCGACCACAGTAACACGTAGTAACTGCCTTTTCTCTCTACCCTACTCGAGGGACTTGCTACCAAGTCTTCTTATTTTAATTTACTTTTTATCTTTAAATTTTATTTGTAAAAATTATGAAAATAGAATCTTTGTAAATTATAAATTTTAGCAATTTTAGTCTTGAAAAAAATACACATTAATACAAATTTAACAATGTTTTTTTTTTTTTTTTTTTTGGAAACCAATTCAACATGTCTTAAAAAAAATAAAAAAGCTTGTCTCATAATTATTACTCGTATTCAAAAAACAAAAGATTGTTCTTAATATTTCTTTTTCTTATACATCAATGTACATGTTGAAGTTTATCAAATAGCTCTGAGAACGTATAAACCTAAAAAAAAAGTTTATACGTTCGGATAAGGGTATTTTCTGCTGATGTAATTTTTTTTTTTTGCTCATTTTTAAAAAAAAGTTATCAAATGAGCAAAAAAAAACCACCCTTGGTGCACATACTTTACCAGCACCCGAAAGTATATATGGAGTAATTGGTATGAACCAAAACATCTCATTTTGAGATACTAGTCATACTACCTCCGTATTTGTTGATATTCAATTGTTTTAATTTTTAATTATGGAAAAAGTGGAAAAACAGACATTGAATAAATATTAATTACACCAATTTACTCGTGAATTGTCGATAAATTCCCAACTTAAAACTAAAAAAGGAAATATATTAAATGCTTATATGCAGCTCTTAGAGCTATGTATAACATTACCCTTTAATTATTGGTCAAAGTTTTTTTATGCCAATAATATCTTTATACTTTAATTTACTCGTGAATGTCCATAATTCTTACAATTCTTACAAAACCTATATTTTTTTCTTAAAAAAATAAAAAAAAAAAAACCCTAATCTTTATACTCTTTCCCATCAAAATGCAAAAAATCACCTACGAATCTACAATACGGACACACTAATCTCCGAGAAACGTAAGAAAAATGGCAGATATCATGAACAGAAAACTACAATTAACCACTCAATATTCAATGCCCTCTTGCCCCTTCTACCTTTTTTCACCCAGAAAAAGTTTCACCATTTTCACAATTAACCCTTTCCCTTTTATTAATTTTTATTATCTTTTTTATTTAATTTTTTTTGTTTGGGTTGCTTCTTTACCAAATTCCATTACCAGACAGGGGAGGTGGAGAGAGAAAGTGAGAAGGGGTTAGACATGATAAAAACCCTGATTTTGATCAGATCTATCCATTGCAATACTCTATTTTGATGGTCTGAAAATTCAATTTAATTTAATTCTAAAAAACAAAAAAAAATTCATTAAAAAGATTTAATTTTTTTGATTTCAATGGCAAGTGCTTCTGTGAAGATGAAGCCCATCAACAGGAATCAAGCTGGGCCTTCATCTTCTTCAAGCAAACCCATTTTAAAGAAAAAGATTGAACCTTCAAAATCTGTTGCTGATTCCAAGTTTAATAAGTCTGTCCCAGTAAAAACTGCAAAACCTGAGGTACCCATTTTCTGATTTTATGATTCTTTGTTTCTATTGGATTAATTAATGAATTTTATATTATAAATTGTCAATTTTACATATTGGTTTATTGGGTGTTTGTTTATCCATGTGGGTAAGTGGATTATTGTTGTTTTGGAGTGTGGAGGACTAGACATGGGTACTTGACGTGAAATGAAAAGTCCGAGTAACATAGGCTTTCGTAACTATAATACAGCTGATTATTGTTTTTGTCATTGTTTGAATTTGAAGGAGAAAGGGAAAGCAGTTGTACCTGCAACACCTGTTAAGAAGAAAAGGGAGAAGAAGGTTTTCAGTTTGACAGGACAGAAATATGACCCTCCAGAGGAGGTATAATGGATTGAATTATTGATATAATTTTTCATTATAGCATATGTCTTGTCACATTGGTGTAACTTATTTATATGTGATCTATCTGACAGAGAGAGCCCCTGAGGATATTCTATGAATCGTTGTCAAAACAGATACCAAGTAGCGAAATGGCGGAATTCTGGTGAGCATTATAAAGTTCTGTGCTTATTGTGATGGTATGTGCATCTATTGTTATTTTGTTCGGCCTTGGGTTGTTGCTGTAATGAGTATTCTATGGGGATATTATGTAAAGTGCATTATGTGAAGAAGAGATATCGCGCTACTTGTCTGACCGAGTTAGGAGACCTAGGACTTTGGAATTAGGATTGATTAGCATCACTGTGCATGTCAATCATGCATTCTTGAGGTGGAAATTAGTTTTAAGTCTTCTAACCAATGTTTTTGGCAACGTATGTTTTAAATATCTAAATAATTGTTGCTCTTCCTTTACTTAATAAATAAGTTGATAATCATTGAACAAAAGTTAGACAACCAAATACAATTAAAATCGCATAAGTGTCACTTCAAATTGCATCAATATCTTTGCACTCTCATCTTTGAGGAAGGTTTGAGTGCTAAAACTCTTCTTGTGCAATCAAATTTCTTAACTCATACAAGCAAAACATTAATACATCATTTCTCTACATAAAGTAGCATGACTTGTAACTGCACAATGCACACTGTTTCAGCTAAAAATTATTATACAGCTTGCTTCTTTTTTCTTTCTTCCTGCATAAATGACCAGCCATGTCTTCTCAGCATCAAAGTGCAGCAGAGGCCTTAAAATGTTGAGCAAAAGTAGGATTTGTTGAACTACTGTCTGGTTTCCTTAGCATAACAACGGATGAAAAAAAAATAGATGATCACAAATTCAACTTCTCTCTTGGCAATAAAGAGGATCACTGTTGATTTGCCATGGTTTAAACTGTCTTTAGATGCAATTCTATTCTGAATTATGAACCATGTAACCTAAATTCTCTTTGGGTTAGCAGCGTTTTTACGTATATTTCTCTTCTGAGCTACCTTAGGAGTAAAATTTCGTGCACTTCGGTTATTACAACAGGCTATGGATTTTGTTTCACTTAGGCTTTGGGGAAGAGGAATGCTTTACATGATATGGTATATAATGACATAACATGATTAGAAGCTGATTTTAGACATGGGTTGAGATGGAGTTATACAATTTCAACCTCAAGATTCTTATGGCTGCATGCCTGTATCAGGATTTGTCATTGGCATTCCAGAGTTTTGATATGAGTAATCATTTACTGCCATATAGCATCAGGTAACTCAGGTCATTGTCATATATTAGAGTGCTGATCTTGGAAGCTAAGTAGGTGTTTGGCTCATGTGACACACTCACTACATCTAGGGAAATTGGGAATTATTTAAAATCAAAAAGTGATGGTATACACATTATATAATAAAATATCCAAAAAGGAATTAAGGTTGTGGCAAGGGAGGAAAACTAAGATGTAGCTGCACAATTAGATGTACCATTGATTCATCTAATAACAAATCATTAACAGTACAAAATCCTATCATTTTAAGCTCACCTCTTTCACTTATTGATTCATTATTGGAAAATGTGAAGGTTCCAATTGAATTCATTACAGTTTAATCAAAGTTGAAAATGGAGGAGAAAATATTGTGAACATAATATAATTAACTGAGAGATTGAATTTGAAGGTAGAAGGAATATAAGGACTAAATGAGGAATGGAAGTTGAACATTGAAGTCTTAAAGGTGGAAGGTGAATGGGAAGAAGCAAAATTTGTCCCTAAAGGGTTTGTGTTTTTAAAAACTAGGTATACATATATGACTTATGGAGATTGTAAATAGACAGACAGAAAGTCTTTGAGTGCAATTCCTTGGACTTCACCATAAAGTATTTTTGAAACAAATCTACTGTGGTATGAGTATGGAGATACATATGTGTAAAAGACTTGCCTTAAGGGGAGGGGCACTTTAGTTAAGGAAAATCAATTGAAGGAGGAGGATAGATTAATTAGAGAAATGGAAGCAGAATTTTTGAGAGAGTTTCATTTTACTTCCAAGAAAAGATCCGAGGTTGTAATCTTAGTGGTGATTTAATTGGACTGCTAAACCAATCAAGAAACAGGGAAGGCTTTTAGCTGGCAGGGGCAACCAATTATCAAATTTCCCCCAATTTTTCTTCTTCCTCATTTCTACAAATCTGATTTTCATGTCTATAACAAATTGGGTGAATAAAATTTGTCCAAAAATTTAAAGGACTTTGTAAATGGCTGATCCTCTCTCCCCCTCTATTGGATTTTATTTTTTAGGCTCTTTTTTTTTTAGTTGAAGTTGTGCACACTGTGGCGATTTCACAAATCTTTCGGGGTATGGAGATTAGATGCCCCCCCCCCCCCCCCGGCTGTGTAGAATACTTTTAGTTTCCATTGGTTGAAGAAAAATACCCAGCTAAAATGACCAAAACTTAGGTGTCAAATGAAGTTTTAGTGGGCGGAGGTTGTATATGATGTTGTCATTGGGATAGGAGAAAATATATTTAAGAGTCTTGAGTTGAAGATTGGAACATGGACAAAATGTAAATAGGCAGGCTGGATAGGATGTTTAAAAGCTTTGGTTTCCAAGCTTTATTATTTTTTTTAATCACAGTAATGGGAACATAAACAAAAGTGCATGTAATTGACCACCAAGAAGAAGACCCACAAAGGTTGAAGGAAGAACTACATCCCATAACCCAAGAAATCAGCTTAAGACTTCAAAATCGACACCTCACCAGCTCTAATTAGTACGTACTTCTGAAGGTCTGCAGAATAAACTAGAGTATGATTAGAGAAGAGGAGATGAAAGATGATGAATTGCTCATAAAAATGAGAGATTGACATTAGTGAATGTTAAAGAATTAGGTCTATTGGTCTATATATTATTAAGTACATCCTTCGTTTCTTAATAATTGCAACACTTTGATTGTTGTTATATACATATTCTAATTTGTCCACATTTTAGTAATAAAAATTGATATCCTTTGAATTTCCAACAATTGTCTAAGGAGATGTTTCCAAAAAATTTCAACACTTCTAAATTTGGTAAGTTTTACTAATAAAAATACTATAAATGACCTTACTTTGTGGAGTGAATGGGGAGGAAAGGGGTTAGATTAGGTTATATGGGTAATAAAGAGTAGGTGAAGCCTTACCTCTATATCTTTCCTTAAAAATGTGTCATTCTCTAAGAATTGTAATTTTATTTAAACAGGGATGTATTATGTAAGAATTTTGGGTTAGCCAATGTATAAATTGTAAAATAGTAAGTTTTTGTAGTAGGAGATTGTAGAGGATATTGAGAGATTTCTTATGACCTTGAGTAGATGAAGAGAAGCGAGATCTTCTTGTTAGAGAAAATGCAATGGTAGGTCTAAGGAAGAAGCTTGGATTTTGGTAGGCTGGTATCTAAAAGCATTTCTTTAGTGGGATAATAGTTGAGGTGTTGCATGAAATTGGTTCTCTTTGGCATGGAGAAAATGAGTGATTCAAAGTGTGTATGATCTTCTACGATGGTTTGGATGTGTTAACTAGGACTAGTGTTCACTATACTAGCCTGTGGGAGTTTATCATCACTCGCCTTTTGCTTGGTCAAATACAAAGTGGATAATGAAGATAATATTATTTTGTGGGAACTTCTCTAGTATCCCTTTGTCTTGCCTCTATTTGTTGTCAGTTACCCATCAAACTTAATAACATTTTTTGGGGAGGAACGGTTTTAAGTCTTGTTGGAACCTTCGTTTTAAATAGCCCTTTATGATTGGGAGTTTGGAGAGCTGACTAAATAGTGGGGCATTCTTGATTCTATAGTATAATTATTTACATAAAATTCTAAGTTCACCATCTTTACCTCTTACTATTATTCTTTGGAAGGCTAAGGCTCTGAGCTGGCTGAAATTGTGTGGGTTTTTTGTTTGAGAAACTCAGTACTGTTGAAAATCTGCCTGGAGGCCAAACAAATTATCATCTCTTCATGTGTGCCTTTTCTTTCCTGTTTTGGGGAGACTTGTGGATAACTTGTTTTTGGGTTGTTAGGTGCACTGACTTACCTATGTCAGAGGCTTTGTAGTTTGGTAGGGAGTTAATGGGTTTTCCTATTAAATGCTTTGGATCATTTATGCTCCTGTGAAGTTTGGGAGGCTAAAGTGGCGCACAGTTTTGCGGTGGGTTTGCTAATATATGGGTGCTTGGGTTTGAGAGGAATGTTTTTGATAGTATTCTTGGCTTTGTTATGCGATTTGGTGTTCTATTTAGCTAAACTACAGTCAAATTCTCATGAGCATTTGTTTGGCATGTCTCCTTTCAGTGTAATGAGTTCTGATTTCCCCCTTGATTTGCTTCCTTATTTGTAGAATTGTAGCTCTTGATATCCTTATTAATGAATATTCTTTTCTTCCTAAAAAAAACCCTATTATCCTGTGACATAATATCCAGTGAAGATGTAATTCTCTGGTAAAAATATTTCAGAGAAGAATGGATTGACTTGACCATTCAACCCACTTGTATGGTGTTCCCGGGGCTAAGTAAAAGGACATTTAGAAAGATGAATAATTGTTTAATTACCATGAAAGCATATTTCTCTATTTAGAGACAACTTTATACAGTGTTAATATTTGACTCTTTTCGGGTAGCACCAAAACCCCATCTCACCAGTCATCAGTTGGAAACCTTCTTATTTACAATAGTATAATTGTGTTTTAGAATGATACATGTCTGATTATATGTTTTATGAATTGTCCGCTTTCTTTCTCACAAACTTTTTTTTTTTTTTCCCCTTCTCATGCTATTATTGTCTTTCCTCAAGACTTGCCATTTTGAGGAAGACATCAATGTATTGTGCAAACTTAAAATGAGTACATTAAACATTTAATTGTTTTTGTATTCCACTTTGACTTCTTGTATCTGATTAGTGCTTCCTCTGTTTTCTTGAGTTCTTGAACCAAAATTTAGTTTATGAAGTGGATATATCCATTTTGTTCGTGCTCCTCTATTTTTATTATTATTTTAGGAGTATATATATATATTTTTTTTTAATGAAAGTAGACCTTTTTTAAAATACCTGGTGCCTGTGTTTGGCGGCTGTTGCTATAAGCTCATATGGGATGACTGGAAGTCAGTATGGTGCTACCTTATACGCCTATGCTCTGTTCCACTCATCAAAAAGTGTTGATGAGCCATACCTCCCCAATGCACTTGAATTTGCACAGCCTCCCATACTAGACGTATATAGTTGGACTTGAGATCCCTATATGTTTCTTTAGTAGTCCCATTACAAGAGTTATTAACACTTGGTTCACTGTAGTTGCTTACTTTCTTTGGCACCATTTGCATCAGCGAACTGTCTCGTAAGCTGGTGAGTGATGATAAGCTTATTTATTGGTGGTCTGGACTATTGAGACGTACCCTGTGGACAAAATTGTATGCCATATCTTGGGTGTAGACTAGTGCATTCAGGAGCATACTCATGGTGGTTGGTCTTGCTATTGGTATTATGAGCTTATATAGCATGATGCTTTCGGTTCCGTGACGCTGACATCCAAGGGAATGGAACTCTGTAATGGTATTGCTGTATAATGTTTCTGACAATCCACTCAGCACCAATTATTTCTCAGAGACAATGCTCAGTGGTATAATAATGTCTCATGACATGTTGGGGACACAATAGAGAAGCTCCTCAAAATAAGTTTCCATGCCTAATAGCTAATATTTTATAATACCCTTATGCAGTGTAATGAGTATTCAGAGTGAATAACTTATGACCTTTTTTGTATAATGATTGCCTCCCTTGAATAACAACAAAAAAACCCAGTATGGATCACCGTGTGTTGTGCTTGGAAGGATATGATTGGGATAAGCTATTTTGTTTACTGATAGACCTTCAGAGATTAAGCTACTCTACCATCTAGGTAACCAAATTTGTCTAGTTAGCTCTCTCTATTACTTTTCACACTCAGGTTAAGAACGTCAATTGACTACTCATTGTTGAATCTGGTCCTTTGTTTGTCAATCAGGACATTTCTAGTCGGGAATTTCTTTGCTACTTTGTAGAGTTTGTCTTCATCTGATTTAATCCTCTGTGTTTTAGTTAAGTTTGCTTCATTCCATATTATTTGATTAATACCGTGAAAATAAACCTACCAACTACTGCAAGGACTTGCAGAGCCCACTTGATTAATTACCTGACCTTCTTTTATTCGATAAGGAGCAACATCTTAATAGTTATTGAATGTGCTTGCTCAACTGCTTAATTGTTTGCTACTTATTTACTTGTCCAAATCACAATACTCAGAGCCTCAGAGGTATTGGATAATAATGGAGACAATCATGAAAGCCTTTGCTTGAATAGTTGACAAAGGACTCTTTTGATTAAAAAGTAGAATATACAATTGTGGCGTGGACCTTCCACTATCATATCCTTTGCTTTATTCATAATCAGCTGAACTTCTTTTGGTGTTGGTTACGTGATGTTGAAGTTACTATCTTTTTGCATGTTTAAATTGGGTTAGTCCTCGAAGTCTTTGTTAAAGCAGAGGTCTGTATTAAATATTTGAGCTAGTGGGGCGTATTGCAGCTATTGCTCACACGGTACGTTGTGTGTCACCCATGCTAACAAAAAATTATATGGGAAACTTTATGAGGTGACTCTGCATTCTTTAAAGTTTCATATGGTGGAAATTTTAAAAAAATTGATTTTCTGAATGATCCTTGTTATCGTTTAACTAACTTTTGTGACCTTAAATGCAAATTAATGAAAATGTTCGTTAATTTTTTTTTAAAAAACATTAATTTCTCTCAGAGTCCCACCCCTTTCATGGCAGCTAACAAGCTCCAATGTTACCTCTTCCTTATCCATTCCCCACCAATAAAGCTTCCAACTTTGCCAGTAATTCTTTTAAATTTTTAATTAATAATATTAATACTCACTTCACAGTTGAACTCTATGCTCAAGCTATCAAATTTCTTCCATATTATCAGCCCACAGCCATTAAAACATCTGGGATACCCAGAAATGAAATAAAAAAAAGAGAATAAGGTGATTGCAGTGAATGAGGGAATTTGAAAGGCCGTGTGCCTTCCACCTTGTATTTAGGAATTTTATACAGATTAATTGTTTCATGACCAGATAATCAAGCCTTTATTTATTCTCCACCGTATAAAAGTTTACAGAACACAGATTTATGAGTTTATGACATTTATCATATGGAATTTCCCAGATGATAACGATGTTGAGGGGGAGTCATTTCTCTTGTTTCAACTTCTAAAAAAATTCTATGTGATTTTTCCTATCTTTTCACCTACTCTGATATTCATTCTTAATGACATGTCCTGATGATGCTTCTGAAAGCCTTGTGGATGTGAATAAATGTATGATTAGCGTTACTGTTGCAAACACCACATATTTTCAGCACTTCTGCTCTTCTGATACTACCCATGGCACAACTTGTCCTTGAGCTAGTTTCCTTTTGGGAGCTAAAAATCATTTGTTAGATCTCTAGAGAATTACCTAGGCTCCATTGCTGTACTGCTAATGTCAAATGACCTGCTTCCTACAGATTCATTATTAACTTTCTAGGCTTTCGACTAGTCTTGTCTAGCAAAACTTGGTATAAAAATAATTGAATCATAAAGTTGTTTTCTCTGCATATATATTCACATAATTCAATTCCACCATTAACCTCAGGCTGGCTTTCTGCATTAAATTTTGCCGTTTGGATGTTGGCTATGCGTCATAATGGGACAAAGGTTGCATAAATGCCTTCTCTTATGTAATGAACGATATTACACTCGTGCTGAAAATTGGATGGTTTTGTCCATGCCTTAGCTTAGATGTCAATTCTAAACGTCAGTCTTCACTTTATATGTAGCTAGATTGATTTGAGAACGGGAAATTTACCTATTCAGTGGGCTTCAGCATTTCCTGATTAGACTAATGTGGACCTGAATTTAGAAGTGGACAAACAACATATTTTTTCCCCTTCTTTGATTATGAAGAATGAAGTACGAGTGAGTCAATATTATTCTCCGACAATTTCTAAGGAATTAGGATTGTTGGTTTTGCATTTCAAAGTTCTATTGTTGTATCTTGGAGCTTTTTTTGCTGAACGATTATTAGCTTTTGACAATTTGATTTTTTATTATGTTCTCTTGTGGTATTCAAGTTGATATACAGCTTGGAATTAGTTGGCCAGATTATGTTATTTCATAGCTTTGGACTATTGCAGTTAGGGATTTTCTGGAGTTATTTCGCCCGATTTTCAGTGAAAATTCCTTGAATATATATTGACGTGCTCACTCTTGCAGATATCTGGGAAAAAAAAAAGAATGTATATATATATTTTTTTTTTTGTTATGAATCGATTTCAATATAGGAATCAATTATGTGACTTGTACTAAATAATATGATAATTGTGATATGAAGGCAATAACAATGGCTGTTTTGCAGGTTGATGGAACATGGTTTATTGTCTCCTGAAAGAGCCAAAAAGGCCTTTGAGAGGAAGCAACGAAAGCAGAAACAACTTAAGATGGGAACTCCTATAAAATCAACGCCTGCACCTAGTAGACCAGAAAGTTCAAATAGACAAAAGCTTGTATCTAAGAACGGTGATATGAAGGCCAAGAAAAAAATTGTTGAAGACAGTGATGACGAAGTCATTGGGAATGCTAAAAGAAGGAGAGCATAAAATATGGTACCTCCGCACTCCATAGCAAAATGAATTTGTAGAACATTCCATAAGGTTAGTTTCCTTCTCATTCAAATACTGAACAATACCATAGCAAAAGTGCATTGTAACAATCTTATAGGATATAAGTTAAAGTCCTTTTTTCACTGATATACATTGTCAGATTCAAGAATAAAGGAATAAAATACAAGTTTCCTTTTATACAGCTCAACTGTGTTATTGATTTCAGTGGTTCTACTTATCTGACTGCTAGTTTCTCTTCAGAATTATTTGAAGCGTCCTCTTTGTGCTTAATCTCAAAACATCTTTCTTGTTGAGATATTATATCAAAGTTTCATTTAGCAATTTCAGCATACTGGTATTTTTTATTGAAACTCTTACCTGTAGTTGGTTATTGAATGCTCATGGGCCATCTGAATGCATGCTAATAACGAGCGGTTCCCGGTATATTTTTAACTATATCAGTCTTTAATTCACCCACAGACCCAAAAAATTAAAAATCAGAAGAGGAGAAATCTAGCAATTCCATGTGCATTTGCATTTATAGTAAGGTCAGTAAAATGTCTCCATGATGGTCCCTGTATGGGCCTTTTTAAGGGAAAAACATGATTCCTGTGCCCTACAATGCCTTAATTTAGATGGGTGGTTTCCATTATCAGATTTTCAGAAAAATTCTTGAAAATCAACTTTTCTCTTTTACATTTCTATTAATTGTCCTACAATTGATGTGTACTTGTGTCACATGATCATCATGTGGACGGAGCAGCGAGGATCGCGAAAACAATGAAAAATATCTGTCTCAGGTGGTGATTATTTATGAGTTGTGATGATTTATTGATTCACTGTTATATTCCATCCATGGCAGCAAAGTTTATGAACAATTTTTAAGTCATGTGGTTTAATTGCAGCCATTCAGGAGGAACAGGAAGTCTAAGGTGATTGTGACATTTAAGATTTTGTCCAAGTTAAAAAAATATATGGACTTTGACTACTGTTACCTTGTTTGTTAAAAGCTGCAATTTGTGCTTTTGACAAAATGATTCTTTTAGATTTTTTCACCTAGTTATAACAAAATTATATGTTCAGATGAATAAAGGTTACTCAACTTCAATTTACAGCTGAAATAGGCTCTGATAAGTATAAAGTGTGTGTTCTTTTGGAAAAAAAAAAAAAAAAGGGAGTATGTTTGTATCTGTCACAATACTTCCTTCGTTCTCTACTAGTTGTTACTTTCGTGTTATACACGAAAGCCTTATGGAGTAGCCGAGTAGGTGCTGCTATGCTGGTGGTTCCATTGTTGTACAGTGGTTGTTGCATCATGTGACAGGCCCATGTAAAAAGCAATTCGTATCAAGTTGTGCATTTTCTTTTCTGCATCTTTAAGGTCGTGGAAGCCCAGATTCATTTATGGCTAAAAGAAGGCGGTATGTTGCATGAGTGTATCAAGTGCTGACATCTTTCTTTTTTTATTCTTTTTATTTTGTGCATGTATCGAGTCATCAAGAGTTATAAGTTAGTGATATAGACGAGATTTGATTCAAATCTTGGTAGAGTACTACTTTTTTAAAACTTAATTCAACCAATCTTAACATTCATTGATATGCATCTTGGTACTAGAAGAATTTGCTACCTCTTATTGTTGTCTCCTCTGACCTGTGTAAGGTTTTTACTCAACTCAACACTTTGGCTTAAATACTGTAATTCTAGAATTTTCTATTAATTTGGATGTTTAAAATAATGAATATAAATTTTGACTTTGGTTTACAAAAAAATTTCACCATAAAGTCCAGTAACTTTGATGTACCTTTTCTCATAAATGTTCATAATAATCCTCTCAAAAACTTGCCCGATTACTCCTATTGGAAGTATTTGTGGTTTTCTGTACTGTTAGTGAATTTGCTGGACACTAAATTCACATGATGAAATATTTGGTAAGGTGTTCGAAAAGAGGATGGTTTGTGAACCACTCCATAACTAGCATGTTCGTGAACAAAATTCGAACAAGCCTAAAGAAGCCAAAATTTTCAAAAGCTAAGCTCGGATAAGAAATTAAAACCTAGCTCAAGCTTGAGTTACCTCGAACACTAACAATTCTTATCAAGCTTATCTTCAAAAGAATACAACCTAGCTCAACTCAGCTCGTTTGCAACTTTGTTGCTTGGTACAAAACATTAACACGTGGCTACTAATGATATTAACTTGTTTAAAGAATATGAAAGATCTCAATCAAAAACTAAGTATGGCCTATGTATTAATGAGGAGAGTATTTATTAATCCAATTTTTGTAAATTTTGATTTATTATTTTTAAAGAAAAGTTTTATGGGGAAAACTAGGAAGTGCAAAACTTTATGAGATTTTTAATGATTTATTATTTTTTATTATACGAGTACTATATAACTAGAAACTAATTTGTACACTTCAAAACTTAAATTAAGAAAGGAATTTCAGTGACCAAAAAACTTTAAAAATAATGAATTTATGTATGTGAATTATTGAACCAACATAATCACAGCAAAGTGGGCGATAGATAGTACTAGGATTTAATTGTTGGCTGATCCACTTTTGGTCCCAAGTCATAATCATATATAAATGATGTGATTAGTGAAAGGCTATGAATGCTATTCTTGCCTTTTTACATCTTATTCTTCCAACGTCCAATACATTTTTTTTTAATAAAACTTCATGAAAATGAAATGTCGAGAATTTTTGAGCTCTTTCTCTACGTACCCTTAACCTAGGTAAGGCCACCTACGCGTTGCCCACGCTGAGTATCATCAGATCAGTTCGTCTGTCTTTCTCACTCCAAGTGTCCGAATTCTATTTCTCGACTTATTATACTCTTTCCGTCTTAGTCCTTAAATACAATACTGATATACGGAGTATTAATGTAAGATGTATGGCAAAAGTTGTCACCTTTCGGAAAACTATTTGTTATATTCTTGCTTAATGTTCATATCAAGTGAAAAGCAAAGGACCATATAAAAACAAAACTATTATACTTAGGAAAAAATAGTTTAATTTATATAACTCTAAAACCTAAATATTGACTGTTTTGGATCATAGTACAAGTGTAAGTGATATACTAATTCATGGACTGCCTTTTTTCGGGTATGTAGCTATTTATTCAACATCAATGGAGCAATGTGACAAATATTCTGGTATGATATTGCCATATTGGAATGGTGCCAAGGATGATTTTTAGCATTATTTGTGGAGAAGAATATACTTTGTAATTGATGCTATAGTTTTGTGAAAATAACGACATTCTTGTGCTCCTAGTTTGTTTGTTAATTAAATTAGTTTGTGTAGTTGTTAACTATTCTGTTGGTTAAAGTTTTGAAAGTTAAGACATACAATAAAGAGTACTATATGTGAGATAAATTTTGTCGCAATCAATACATGAAAGATGATCCTTCGAAGAGATTAGAGTAATAAAATATTAAAATTGTTAGTAAATAAATTATTAAGTTTAGCTAGCCGTCATGTAGCAGTTTTTTTGGCAATTAGTTGTCTAGTAAATTTTAATTTGTTTGTAAACAAGTGGAAAATGATTAGTCCTTTTTAATCTTAATATCTTGGCGTGGACCCTAAGTCCTTAACTAGCTAGCTAGCTTAGCTAGGGTTAACTCGAATTGACTCGTTTAAGTGGCTCCCATGCTGTTGGTACTTAATTGGTACAAATAATCCCCCACTCAACAATCAACATGCTAATCTTTACTCCTAATTGGCTACTTCACAGCTTAATTAATTATACTTACTAATTAATATCCATTAGGCTATATATTTATTAAATGAGTTTTTAATCATTCTATACGCATAAGCATACTACTTTTTAACCAAGTAAGCATAGGGATTTACCTAATAATCTTGTCAAATCCTACCAATTGTGGCACTTGGTTGGGGGAGGGGGGGGGGGGGTTTTGAGATTCCTTGTCCTTTTCCCTCACTTTTAAGTGTTAGTATCTGATCCTATGCACAAATGTTCAATCAATCAATCTAAGCCTTAATCCCATAAGTAGGGTTAGCTGTATGAACCAAAAGTGATTATTCCGTGTAGTTATCGACAAAAATATTTGTCCTCCATCCCTTACGATCAAATGCATCATCCTCATGCAAATTCATATACTTCATATTCTTCCTAACTCCTATGCACAAATGTTGAACCAAAAAAATAAAAACCTTGAGGGTTGTCAAGGTCATTCTCCTTACCTTAAAAGTATGACAAGAAGATCATGGGTTTATATTTTATCTACCCCTCCTTTCTATAGTGAAATATTTAAAGTTGGGTTTAAGGAGGCTCGGTGGTGAGTTAAATTTAAAAATTGATGATGGGACTTCAACCATCATCTTAGTCTTCTGATTGAGGTAGTCCTATAATCACACTCTCTATATTTTAATACATGCAATTTTGGAAATAGATGCCGCAAACAATTTGGCGTATTAAATTAATGTAAGAAAACCCATGAATTAACTCATCGATAATTCATTTTCGGCTAATTAAAATTGATCATAACATATATAATAATAATAATAATAATCCACTAATAGGGATTTGTTAAACATCGCCCGCAAATCTCCACATAAAGCCCACAAATTAGACATGGTTTGACAATTTTGCCCATTTCTAAAATCGTACCCAAAGTGAACAAATCTCGATCTAACAAATGTGGAGTCGTACTGGGTTGCCCAGGGAGGCCGGAGAGGCGAGGGTCGCCGGAGATACGTCGTCTTCGACGGAAAACGAGGTGGCGCCTAGTTTGGACGCCGGAACCATGGCAAGGACGTCCAGGCAAGGCGCCACAACCAGTGCACTGGCGTCCAGGCCAGACGCCACAACCAGTGCACTGGCGTCTAGCCCAGGCGCCTCAACCAGTGCACTGGCGTCCAGGCCAGGCGCCACCACCAGTGCACTGGCGTCTGGTTTGGACACCGCCCTTACTTTTTAATTTTTTTTTTTTTTTTTTGCCTTTTTTTTTTATTTTTTTAAATTATGTTTATTAAATTTATGTTTTGATTTAGGATGTGGAAATTTATGTTTTTTATTTGATTTTATAAAAAATATATATACTAGACTTATAAAAAATAACACATAAAATTAATAAATATTAAAAAAAAATCAAACACATTAAAAAAAAAATTAGAAAAATTTTCTGATTTTCCAAAAAAAAAAAAAAAAAAAAAAAAATTAAAAAAAAAAAAATTTAAGGCAGCTGGGGCGCCTGGCCAGGACGGCCCGTGGCTGGTGGTGGCGCCAGGTCCGGCAGCCACGTCCACCGGCCTGGCGTCTGGGCAGGACGCCCAGCCACAGTGACTGGCGCCTGTCCCAAACGCCATTCACCGTGGCTGGGCGTCCTGCCCAGACGCCAGGCCGGTGGACGTGGCTGCCGGACCTGGCGCCACCACCACCTTGCCGCCACGAGCCACCACTACCTTGCCGCCACGAGCCAACCACCTTGCCGCCACGAGCCTCGACATCCCCGTATTTTGATTTTTATTGAGGTTGTGTTTTTTTTTTTTAAGGTCAAGGGCAATATTGTAACTTCAATATAAGTTTGTGGGCTTTATGTGGAGATTTGCGGGCGATGTTTAGCAATCCACTAATAATAATAATCCCAATCAAATAAAGAATAATTCTCCACATATCGTGACAAGGTATATATATCCATAGGTAGAAAAACAATCAAACCATGAAATTGAACTTTGTAAGTTCCGTAAAGTAACATAATTGAATGTGTTTGCACGAGGGCATCCCTATGGTCCCTATTTAAGTTTAAGGTGCCTTTTGATAAAATCTCTAAATTTGTCGTGGTGTTTTTAGAAATGTAAGCATCAATCTATGGAATCCTCAAGTTTTGAGACATGGTGACATTATTTACCACTGCCTGAATATATATCAACAATTTTTGTTTCAAATTGAGTATAATTTGAAAGAATTTGTTTTTCATCCGAAAGGGTTATTTGGATTTGTGAAGATAATATAATGGCTTATCCTAATCGGGAGTCTTGGCACTTATATATAACAAAAACATGAAGAAAAAAAATGTAAAAGTGTGCAATGTAATAGAGTTTATCAGATGTAGAAAAGAACTTTTTGGCTCTAATATCATGTGTAGATAATATATAACGGTTCACCCTTCGATGCCCTGACACTTAGGTGTAATTAAACACAATTACATATTAATCAAACACGATTATTAATCAAAGTATATTGTTACGCAAGGAGTGTTGTTTTCATTTTTATTGGTGGAGAACTAAAATTTTTTTATGGTATGTCAGGAAAAAGCGTCTTACCGAATTGGAACCTCTCACAGATTAAATCAGTCCGAATTAGCGAGCAAAGTCCCTTGAGGAGGAGAAAGGTAAAGGTATCTCCATTCTAAATGGGTACTGTTGATCGTGAATGATTATGTCTAATACGTAAACTTATACGGAAAAAATGAAAGATTTCGCATACCAACCAGATGTATATATCCACTAGCTTCTAAGGGAAATATCAAATGTTGAGGGTCCATTTTGAATAAATATTTGTATTTATTCGCATAAAAGGTGTTGCCTTAATTAGCTTAGGGACTTAGGGTTTTAAGTTGTAAATCAATATTGTTCATATTAGTAATTAGTTTTAAAATACTCTATTAACTTCTACTCCGTATATGTCTAGCTAGGTTGATTTATTAAGGGCCAATATAATGCAACAATGGACAAAAACAACAGTGGCTCAAAGAGGGTTATTAATGCATGGGAAAGATATGAGACAATACTCACTATTTTTAGCAAAATGAAATTAATGAATATTGAATACTTTCTATAAAATTGTAATACTAATATATAGTTTTGTATTTGTAAAAATGTGTTTAAATTGTTGGAATTATGTGAACAAATAAACTCAATTATCGAATAGAATTAAAGATAGTGAGACATATTTGACCAATGACGTTAATTTATTAGGTGGTTATACATTTTTGATTGGAATTAATTATAACTTATAGGTTTAACTAAGTTAATAGGCCTGCTATTATTATACTCGTACAATGTATCTACAAGGTCACGTACACACCAAGTAAGTAGAAATGTAGAATCGATCATTAATTGATTATTATTGATTGGCTTTAGCTGCTTTACTAACTTAAAGCCTAATATAAATATCAAAAGCATGTTACAGAATTAATTACTCTCCTAAATAAATTAATATAAGGAGGAAGAAACACTTATATATCCAACGCGCACACACACACAAAGAGAACGATAGAGAGAAATCGAGGAGCATATAGACATTCTAGACACCAATAATAGCGTGTGTGATAGTTGAAGCAATAATTCTCATACTCTCATTCTCATATTAAAATTCACAATTTAAATGTATAGTTCAATCCTTAAAATAAATATTTATGATACAAACTTAATTAATGTATCATTATAGTGGTTAATTATTTCGGCATAAATTAATACTCTTATTTTATTTTGATTGGGCCATTGGAAGTCTCTAACACCCTCTATAATTTAGAAATTGTGGTCAAAACTCCACTCAAATTAAGTCAAATAAAGTATTGATTATATTATCTACTTTCGAAGACACAAGTTAATTAATTTGATACATATATAGAGATGTATGAGTGAGTTGAATTTTTTATTTAAATCAACTATTGGCTTCCTATTCCCATATTGATCAATAAGGTAGTTGAATTAAAAAAAAATTATATAGTCTTTCACACCCTTTTCCCCTCTTCAATTCCAATCCATTATCCCTAACAGTATGCCCTAGTCTAACTTTCAATTGAATAGTTCTTTCTCCAACATGCTGTAGAAGATTAATTACTACTGCGTGCGTTAAAAGGTTATTCTAATAGGTGAGTGTCTTATGGATCTTTCCACTCCTTGAGGGTGATTTTCCTATTAATTGGAATTACTTTCTAGCTCTAGCCCATATAAAAGTAAGACTAAAGTTATTAAATCACTATACAAAGCATATTCCTACTATGCGGAATGACCGAATGATCATTGAAAAATTCGAACGAATGGGTGACAAATTGTCGACAAATCTTTCATGCTTTCTAATTCAAAAGAGTGGATCAGAGTATATGTATGAGAGACTGAACGATTTTTTTATAAAGGATCTCCAATTCAAAACAATATATTAAGACGAAAGTAATTGTAAAAATCTTCTATAGTACTGTATACTTTGTAATAAACAAATAAGTATCACGTACGTAACGAATTACCAATCTTTTTCACGCCAGTTTATGCAGATACATAGATATACAAGAGAGTAATGATTTTCATTTTAAAATTCACCTTTCCGGCTTCGATCCCAATGAGAAAATAAAAAAACTTACATTATCCTAAATAGTTTTTCCCTTGGCTTGTATTTCCAACCTCATTAAGGCAGCACACAGTAGTACATCAAATATGGAAGAAAACAGGAGGAAATCCAGACCAAAGAGGTGGAAGGTAGTAGTAGTGGTCATTGTCATAGGGGCATGTGTACAAATTTAATGTCGTCTCAAGCTAAGATTGTAGATTATATACCCACTAGTACATCCTGCTACTATTGTCTACTGTTACCATTTCATTCGTCTCTAATTGTTTGCCTTTACTCGTTAAGTTTCAATCAATTACACAAAATCAATTATAGAGAAATTTAAAGAGATGAATAATAATACTCCGTACATATAACACAATAATTGTAATCTCACGTGTCCACATATTTATAGAATGAGACAATCTTTTAAAGACGACATAAGTTGAAAAATGCATAATTGCATGAATCAAAGATTAAGTAAACTCTACTACTAGTACTCTAGCAGTAAAGAAGAGCAGCAGAGAAGAGGAGGATAATTCAATAGTACAACCAACGGCAAAACATGCAGTGACAGAGATTAAAATAAAAATTATATTATAGAAAGACATAATATTGATGTCACTATTCATCTTTCTGAATGACAGTGTTTATAATTGGAGGTTGCGTGGTTCTCTATTTGAGGAAAGCTTACCCTACTACTCTGGCCCCACTTTTCTTTTTCCTTGGGTCCCACTCTTTCTCTCTCCTCCCCTACCCCCTTATAATATAACTCGTCGTCCATTTTGTTATAGTCATTGCCAAATTATATGGTTTTGGTATTCCACTAAAATCTTTCCTCTCTCATTTTTCTTGCTTCTATTTTCCACTTCTATACAAGTAATCAAAAGAACCCATAAATCTCCTCCGTTTTTCCCCAATTGGGAAGATCATAAACACCAATTATAGTACCCAAAGTGTGTTGAAATTGGGTAAGGGAAAGAAAAAATGATGGAAATTCAAATACCTATGAGTAGTAACATTAACAATAATAATGTTACTGGTATCAATAGAAGTGGTAGAGATGATACTACGACTACCACTTCTATTCCGAATTCGGACCCCGCGAAGACGCCGAAGCGAGCCCGAGACTCCGGCGGGAAACACCCAGTATACCGCGGGGTCCGAATGCGGACATGGGGCAAATGGGTGTCAGAAATTCGGGAACCTAGGAAAAAGTCCCGCATTTGGCTGGGGACTTTTCCTAACCCCGAAATGGCAGCCCGAGCACACGACGTAGCTGCTCTTAGCATCAAGGGTGATTCCGCCATCCTAAACTTCCCCGAACTCGCCGGGTTATTACCCCGGCCCGTGTCACAAAATCCGCGTGACGTGCAAGCTGCTGCTGCTAAAGCAGCAGCTATGGAAAACATCGACTGTATTACTAACAATAATAATATATCATCATCTTCATCTTCCAGCTCATTGTCTTTGTCGCCATCTTTATCACCGTGCTCGTCCCTATCATCAATGGTGTCAGCAATGGAGATAGGGAACTCGGACGAGTTGAGCGAGATAGTGGAATTACCGAGCCTCGGGCCGGTAGGAAACTCAGGGGACTTGATGGGGAGCGAGTTAGTGTATGATTTTGATAATGGGGATAATAATGGCTGGATATATCATAATCCACCATGGATGATGCAGTGTATGGGGGATTTTGCAGTGGTGCCTGAAAATGTTATTTCAACCACTTTTGAAGGTTTGTTGTGGGATTATATGTGACTGTTAACTTAGCTGCTTTTTTTATTTTATTTCTTTTGTAAGTGTGAATTTTGATGAATTTTGTGTGTATAATTCTCTCTCCTTTTTTTTCCTTTAATTCTTATTTTTTCTTTGTGAATTATTAAAAAAAAAAAAACATATTAGTTCTCCCCTTTTTGTTTGGAGAGCTAATTTAGAACTTTCCTTATGTTTTTTTTTTTTTTTCCTTTTACTTTTCCCTTTTTAATAATTTGGTTCTCCTCCCAAAATTCTCAATAAATTTAGATGTTCGTTCATGGAAGTTTTAATTTTAATTTTTTTCTTTTTTTTTTTTTATGGAAAATTGAAGACTATACTAGTATATACACAAATTTTTAGTCTGCAAAGTACGGAATTTAAATATAATTAAATTTGAAAGATGAAATAAGGTACCAGTTGCGAAGGATATTTTGTGAATTATACTAATTGTGAGTTGTACATGTTATGTTTAACCGAACTTTATCCACTCGTGAAATTAGTTTAATTGTCATATGAAAGTCGATGTATTCAACTAGCCAATTTAGAAAAGTGATCAAAATCAATTTATTTTTCAGTTAAAGGTAAGAATTGAAAATTTTAGTACCCCATATTGCATATGTCTCACTTTCATTAACTCTTTTGATCGAGATGGTTCGTTTCTAAATTTCAAACCTTGACCCTACTCAGGTGGACCAAATAATAAAAACATGAAATTAAATCTTCTAAAATCTTCTTAATATACTTATATTCTTTTAAGACTATACTTAAGCACCCAAAAAAATAAATAAATAAATAAAAAAAAACATTTTTCTAACAAAAATACATTTATATATTAAGGAGTACCACCTTTGTTTCTTTAATTTATTATTAAGTATAGATTACAGTACAGATTAATAGATTACATCATTTGTTTAAAACAATATAAGTTCATCATCAAAAAAAAAAAAAAAAAACGTTAATTTAGTGTCATATTTTTTTCAAAATATTTACTACAAATATATTTACTTTTTACTGCTCGCACTTTCTTTATGGAGAATTTCTGTAGTAACTTTAGACTGTAGTCAATGATAATTTGACAAAATGTCCACTCTTGATAAAAATTCAAACGGCTGCAAACAGACACAGGGAATAATTGCAGTAAATTTGTAACTATTCCTAAAAGCTTTTAATCAATTACCATGATTACGTTTGATGAGGTACAAAAATTGGTACGAGTACATGCTAAATAATTGCTACGGAGTAATAACATCCTCATGAATGTCATCATTGCATATTTGTCATTATCCAAGTATTATGGGAAAATTAATTTTGACACACCTTAAAGACTTAAATTGATGTGAGAAAAGTAAACGTGTGTTAAAATTAAATTTGGGTGTGACAAAATCAATTTTCAGTACTTCAATTATGCTAGCTAGCAACTTGCAATAGCTAACCATAAAGTCCATAACCTTAGTCATTTTTTGTGTGTGTGCGCGCGTGTTTGTTTAGTAATTATCTTTGTAGTAAGTCTTGTTTATGATGATTTACTAATAATATATTGTAAATTGTATTATAATATATTATAGAGTGATAAATTAACCTTAAATTATTACGTTAAAATAAAATAACGAAATTGTTTTATTATGTGATTTTAGGTGGCAAATCAGCTCATGCATGCATGCCATCTTTCAATATATACAAGCTCTTGAGCTAGCAATTATACAAATTAAATAACCTAAATAAAATAATGTCGTAAGAGATGCAACAAAGTAAAGATTATTGAAGATCAACAAAAAAGAACACATACACACATTAAATATACGTAGTTTATGAACACTCCATTATTTACTTTTACATCAAACAATTACGAATATCGGATGTTTTTATTGATCTACAACATTGGCTAGGTTAAGAGTCTTAAGACCTAGCAAATCCTATGCTGCGTTGTTCGCAAGAAACAAATCGATTCAAGGCATATTCTAATACAATAATACAAATAACTATATTCTAATCCATGATACTTCCTCTGTTCCACAAGTATTGCAACTAGGATGAAATTACGCATCCCAAAGCACATTTTATATGTTAAATATCTATAATTATATAAGAGTAAAAATTATAAAAGTTGATACTGTGAAAGTATTTTTTGAGACGAATCTAACAAGACCTCACGTGACTATATTTTACTTTACGTATAAATCATAATTTATGATCAAACAAGCATGATGAATAGTGCAAAAATCCAGTTGTTACAATATTACTAGAACGGAGGAAGTATGATTTTCTAGTTAGCGCCTGAGTATAGTTACATATGATGTTGTTATCCAATCACTAAGTATCCACTCCCTCTTGTTCATGCAGTGATTAATCTTAGCAGTATCTGAGAAAGAGAATCAACAACAAATTCAGGACAAAAATTGTATTAAACGAAAAAAAAAAGCTAATTATTATTTATCTTTAAGATTGCCCTTTTTGTTGTCAAAAGTGATACTGTATGTATAATTTACAGTAATAAGCATAAAGTACTGCACTAATGTGATTGAGCATTGTATATGCTAAAGTCTATTTTAGTCTAGGAAACATGAATCACGACGTACCATTTTTTATATTATTTAAAAAAAAAAAAAAAAAAAAAAAAAAAAAAAAAAAAAAACCAATTTAATTAACAACAGAAATTAGAGAGGCATTACTTTATATTGTGTTGGGGAATCTAATTAGACACATTTTTTTTTCTAATATTAATGCAAAGTTAAGGATATTTTAGATTGTGTAGGTAATTTGGTGTCTAGCTCAACGTATGCCATTTTACTATTTTAGATTTGTGGTTCCAGAAGTGACAACTTTTCTAACTTTTTTTTCATGATACAAACAAAATTATCTTTTTATATTGGTCCACTAATATGCTCAACTTCATCAATCCCATCCATTAATAATACACAATAATTGTTAAAGCCTAGAAATTTTATGCGACATTATCTTACATAATCAACTAATTAATAGTGTTATAAGATTAGTGAACTTATTTTAAAATGAAGTTATATAATGGATTTATATTTGACCAGACTATATTGTGATGTGAGCTTTTGTATGGTCCAATAAAATTATAATCGTTTACAACAAAACTTGTACCTCAGCTCTTAGCTTATACTCTGAATCTATACATAAATTTCCTTAATTTCACAAAGTAAATAAGTGTGTGGAGTACTTTAAAAGTCATCGAGTAATTGACTAGTTACAAAAATTGTGAAAATAAAAATAATAATAATAAAAAAAAAAATAAAAAAAAAACATTTAAAGTATGACTTACATAATCAGAAAGCAAGTATTTAGCTTAGCTTGCAAATAATTGTAAGTGAAACAAAATCAATAAACAATAACTATCAATGTATAGTGTGATAAAATAATTATGAAAGTTTTACATTGATAGTGATTTGCCTTGTCTAAATCATGTACTTCTATCTTATATTCCAAATCTTGATTATTCTTGAGCATAATTATGAGTAATCACATATCTTGGTTACTTTGTTGACCTCGTTCCTACATTTACAATCCAAACAATGCATTTTTTGATAAGAAATTTCAAAACTAACTCTTTTTTCGTACCTTCTAAATTTTTACTCCTCCATAAGTCCATTTGATCAATCAGAAAATAACTTTTAGCATGAAATTTTCAATACAAAAGAAAAAAAAAAAACCAATATATAAATATATCACCATGTTTTGGAACATAATTTGTCCTGTTTATGTAGATTTTCCTCGTATTATTTTTACAGAATTCCACAATATTTTGTGAAGTTAATTAACTTATATTATCTCTCTAACATATGTTTATTTAACTTATTTATTTCATTTAACTATAATGGTTGAGATTTGATTAGAGCCTTTTTCTATTATTAAAAAAAAAAAAAAAAAAACACCTTTATTTGATAGAATTTAAACCCCAAATCTGTAGGTGTTGTTTCAAAATAAAAACCTTATTGATTGAGTTAAACATTGTTTGATATGGCCTACTCCCTAACTACTTACAAATTAGCAAGGGAAAAAAGAACTTCAATTAGTCATAATTAGAGCTAAGACAAACAACAAAGTACACAAATCATAACTTAGGATTTTATACTCTGACAAAAACAACCAAAGTGGCCAAATATTAGTGGATGTAACATTTCCCTTCTCTGAAGGGTGGTACACCCCAATTAAAGTAGCAGACAGAACATTGCTTTTGGGGGGTCCTCCACTGCCGACCTCTATGAATATGACTGTTGAATTTTGCCTTTTAACATTATGCCATTAAAAAAAAAAAAAAAATTAAGTTTTTAATAGATGCCAATCATGCCACAAAATCATAATTTCTCACCTTTTTTTTTAAAAAAAGAAAAATATCTTTAAACTAAATTGACATTAATTTGTTTCAAACTTTTAAGACAGGACAAAAAATCATGATACGTATCCTCTAGTATGTTATAATTGTTCAATTTGGAATCTATATATATAACAACTCTATATATTGTAAATGACAATTTATACTTTTCGGTAAATATATATACTTAGTATAAATCTCATGTACACATGTGAGGTCCAATTTGATTTGCCTAGATGTGTAATTTGTTGGAAATGGTATTGCAATGGGATGAATTGCAAAGCTATTACGATCCACACTCGTGCCCGGTCGAGCAAGCTGCGCCTGGCCGGGCGAATTTAACACGCAGTTTGCGGGTACACTCGCACCCGGCTGGGCAAGCACCGCCCGTCCGGGCGAACTAACGGTTCAAAAATCTTGTGTTCTCGCGCCCAATCGAGCGGTGATTCTCCCAATCGGGCGGCAAAACAATGAGAGTTACAAGCCCGGCGGGCGAGGTCCGCCCGGTGGCTCGCCCGGGATTTCGCGTCGAGTGAAAGATTCTTGCCCGACCGGGCAATCGCGGCCCGACCGGGCGCGATTGCTTGTGAGAAGGAGATTTCGCTCAGGCCCGGCCTGACGCGCCTTTTCCAGGAGAGGGTCGGTTTGTTTATTGTTTCCTATTTTGGGACTTATATAAATACGAGTGGTATCTTCTTTCTTTCATTCATCCATACGAAACCAAAAATACAAACCTACCCTTTGAGATATGAACAATTCTTGAGCAATTCCAACCTTCGAATTCGGGTACACGGATCGGAATGCGGAGGTCGTTGTGTAAAACTTGGGGGCGTGCGTCACTGGGATATCTATATCGGTGGTGGCGTATTACGCTTCTAAGGCAGTGGGTTCCAAACCACGCACGGCATAATTGAAGGAGGACGGATCTTGATCAATTATAATAGTATTTCTTGTCTTCGTTCTTGATTTCAATAGGTATAATTTTTCCAACAATTTAGAAGCGTAATAATATTATTAGATCTGTTGACATTATGAATAGCAATTCTCAAACTCGTTTATACCTAGATCTGTCTAAGGTTAAGTCTCTTGTTGGTATTAATTACAAGAGATGGTCACAAAGAATGTTGATTGCTTTTGAACGAGTAGAAGTTGATTATGTCTTGTTTAATGATGCTCCAAAACCTATTGTTCAAACCAATGCTATGATTGAAATTCCTAGTACTCCTGTTGCTAGGAATAAAGAATCTGACCCTAGCTAGAGCACCACTACTGTTATTGTTAATGACTCTGAAATCAAGAAATTTGATCGATCGTGATAATAAGTTTGTTAGGGGTCATCTTCTGAACCACGTGAGAAAACAACATATTTGATTTGTATGTTAATATGAAATCTGCTAAGGAGATGTGGGTGTCTTTAGAAAAGAAATATGGTGCTGATGATGCCAGGAAAAAG